TGATGAATATAATCCAACAGGTGTGGCTTTACTGGCATTCCTCTGTAAAGACATGGCATTTTTTTATCAACACACTTAGTGTGCCTTCTTTCCACCTTCCCTGCAGAGTGATCATACCTATACTTTTTTAGGAAGCTATTTGTTTTCCTTTCTATAACTATGCAGTAATTAGACTGTTTTTCTAATTTCTTTGTAGGATTTTGATGATTTATCAGAAACAGACATAAGCAGTGAGGATCAGCATCATAACATCAAGCCTGACCTTACGGAAGAGGAGCTTAAATCCAGGTTATTTCAACTCGCTGCTAAAATGAGTGACAAGGAAACATCTTCTGGTGAAGAACAAGAGTCAGAACCTAGAACAGACCCTGAAAACCATAAGGAGAATTTGTCCTCAGAGGAAAATGGCAGAAGTATTCAGGAAGAGTTAAAGAAGGTAAGTGGTCATTTTAGAGCAGTGGGGCTAATAATGTAAAAGTTAGAATCCAGAAAGAGAAACTTTTGGTTAGAAAATTAAACATAGTTGCTTAAAAAAATCCCTGAGTCCTTTAAGCTGGGTCTGAGCCTGCAACCCTTGTGCAGGTAAACCTTCATTTAAGGTGTATGTGCCTTCATGTGAGCCTACAGCATCAATTCAAAGCAGTGAACTTAGCTTGTGTAATAAACCTTTGATATTAATGGAATTATGTCAGTTTATACTGACTGACAATCAGCTTATATGTTTTTAGTTAAAAACGAATCCAGTTCTCCTTTTTTCCTCCTTGCTAACCAGCTGGTTTAAGTGGGGTTTTTTCACTCCTTTTATTTGCTCCCCTGTTTTTAGTATCATGTAGTTCATTCTGATGTCATAGATTCTTCTTTTGCCCCTTTATTAGAATATTTTGTGCTTCTTTAAAGCTTTTCAACCCTGTCACTGTCAGCTAATGGGCCTCCTTAAGTAGTAACATACTCTGTTGAAACTGAAATCCAGTGTCAGTTCTGATAATGTATGAGATCTTCTGTTTGTGCCATTTCACCCTTACAATGAGATGTCCAATTTCAGTGTCACTCCACAGGACTTACCACCTGCCCTCTTACCTTTCTACCTCTGAATTTCTATTCAGATCATGTGGTGTGCTTGAATTTTGGTGCTGTAGAAGCCCAGCACTGCCCCTTGCCAGTCAAGGCTCATTCCTTAGATCCACTTAGGCTCATTCTTGTCTGCCGTGTGTCTTGACTCATCTCTTCATGTCTTGTCTGCACAGCAACACAGCTTTGACAGGGGATGTGGACAACTCTCTAAAGGAAACCTATTCTTCATCATTTGAAAGGTGTTTTGTTCAAATGCTATAAAGAACTAATACACTGGGAGGTGAAAGGAGGATCAAGTGACCCAGGTGCATCATAGGACACTGTCCCTGTGTGCAGGAATGGTGTGAGGAAAGCCAGTGCCCACCTGGAGTTGAATCTGGTGAGGGACACAAAGGTGTCGTGGGTAGGCCAATCCGGCAACTAAACTCCACACAGCTCTCCCACTCCAATAAAGTGGAGAGGAGAAATATATAATAAAAGAGCTGAGGGTCGAGACAAGAACAGAGCAGCATCCACCAACCACGGTCCCGAGCAAAGGAGACTGTTTTCTTAAAGCAAAACAGTTTATTAACAGCTACCTAAAGAGATAAAAGCAAACAAAAATGGTTACTTGAGAGGATAACAAGAAAACAAGGCCGAACTTAAAATCAACACCTCTCCTCCCCGCTTTGCCTTTTCTTCCCGGCTCTACCTCCTCCCCCTTAGTGCGCAAGGGGGCAGGGAATGGGGGAGTGCAGGTCAGTTCATTCTATGTTGTTACTGCTGCTTCTCTTAAAGGAGAAGGAGTCCTTACACCATTGTCCCTTGCTCCAGTGGATCCCCTACTCAGGGGGAAAAATCCACAGACTTCTCCAGCGTGAGGTCCTACCTGCAGGATGCAATCCTTACCCCATCAGACTGCTCCAAGTGCAGGCTTTACCACAGTCTCAGATTCTTAGGGAGTTGTTGCCACTCGCTCTGGCGTGGGTCATCATATAGACTTTAAATGCCATGGGTCGTCATATCGACCTTAAATGCGTCTCCGTACAGACTCTGAATGCGTAAATGCGCCTCGACCTGTGCCCATGATTCACAATAGTCTGCGGGCTCAGGCATCTCCTCTGAACAAAACACCTCCCCAGCGACAGGGGTTGTCCCACGGACTTTAGATGCGTACCATACTCAGGCTTAGGCATCTCTTCTTCGACGTGGATCTTCCACAGGCTGTGAGGGGGTCTCTGCTTGCTCCACCAAGGACTGGTTGAAAGGGGACGCTTGCAAGGGGACTCAGCTGCAGCACACGTTGTCCCATTCCATCTTAACTGACCTGGTATCTGTGTGGCCATTTCTCTCAGATCTCAGTCTTTTCTGGGTGAACTCGGCCCAGCGGGCACCCCAGGAGTGGAGCTCTCCCCGAGTTCCTCAAGTGGCTCCGCCGCAGCCATCCTCAGTGGGGGGCACCATCTCCCGCCGGGGCCAC